GGAGGGGGGAGGAGGGAGGAGGGGACGGGTATTTGCATACACAAAGAGTGCAAAGCACACCACCCGAAGGATGGACATATTTGAAATTCGGACTTAGGGGAGGAGGGGGGGGCAAGAGCAACATACGTTACCTAAACATCTGTACCCCCATAATATGCTGAAATAAAAAAAAAAATTTAAAAAATAAAAAAAAATAATCCCTCGCGTGGTCATGCAGCACAATGACTAAGCCCATACTCTAGGCTCAGAAAAGAAAATCAGTCCCTGCTCAGCAAAGGATGATTCGTAGACAGCAAAACCCTTGCAAATAAAGAACTCTGTTGAGACATACATTTGCTTGCAATGCCAACGAATACAGATTTATTGAGAAATACATAGTGAGACAAGGTCCCTTTTACAGAGACACAAAAGCAGAAGCCAGGAGATACGGCAGCAGCAAGGTCAAAACATGTCAAAAGCATGAGAGACTGGGGCATGGGTAGTAAAGCTTCTGGAAAGATCCAGAGGCATACACAGCACCCTTAAAATAAGCTTGGTGCTGGCCAGAAAAGCTTTAGAGTGCCAAAGGCAGTGAATGCATGGCTAGGAGCCAGCAATCAGGCAGTCAGCATAGAGGTCAGCAATGAAGAGTTCTTCGGAGGCAGGCAGCATGCTGGAAGACCCTGGAAGCACAGCTGGCAGGTGATGGAGTCTTGATTCTCTCACTGGCTCGTACACACTTAGCAGGTTCTTCGGCAGCTGGACACACAGGACGGCTGGTACGTCCTGGAGACCCCACAGGCAGGTTGGCAGACAGTAGTGACTCCTCCCGCTGGTTGGCAGACAGTAGAGACTCCTCCCACTGGTTGGCACACAGTAGAGATGCCTGCCAGGGGCCGACAGCCACTGGTGACAAAGTTGATTGGCCGGGTGTAGGTAGTCGAACAGGGATTGGAGACACAGGTGGTTTGTCGAGAGCAAGTCACCTGGCACGGGCTGGAGACGCAAGGGGTTCGCTGGTAACAGGTTGGCTGGCAAACAGTGGGCTCACAAGACTCCTGACAGTGATTCAGGAGCCAAGAGCCAGTTTGGAAGGAACTGGGCAAATAGATGCCACTCAGGCAGTCAGCTTCCGTGGTTGAAGCTGTGGCAACTGGAGCCACTGGGACAGTGCAGCGTCCACCCACTGGCCTGGAAGAGCAATTTCTTGTGGAGCAGTTGAAGGACATGATGTCGGACAGAGGGCTGCAGGTACCTTGCTGAAGTTCCCGTCTGAATGGTGAATGCCACTTCAGGCTCCTGAGCTTTTATATATCCTTGCTGGTGGGCAGGGCTCTCTCCCCAATCTCCCTGGCTTCTTTGGCATAGACCAGCTTGCCTTAGAACATCTTGTGAATCTACAGATTAATTGTCTCTTGAGAAGCCTTCACCCTCATAAAGAAAGTTTAGTAGTTTGGTAGCTAAATCATAAGTCTTTAGTACTGTACTTAGTCTATTAAGAAGGTTGCTTGACAGCTTCAAAGCCATTGGTCATACCAGCCCACACTTCGTCCCTCCTTCATCTTGCTTGCACACGATGAGTGTCAATCTGACTATAACACCAAACATGCCACCATCCTATCATCACACACTCTCCCCTCCCAGCCAGGACTAATTATAAGCCCACACCCTGTTTGGTTTGTCATTGGACTTAATGCATCTTAAACAGAACTTAACCAGTCACTCTTCCATAGCTAACGGAAATATGCTTCAAGATGACAAGTGACAACACCTGCTAGAAAAAGGGACGCAAAGACTCGTCTCCAGAATCCAAGCTGGCTCTCAAAATTAATCAACCAATGAAACAAGATGCCCAGGGAAGGTCATAGTGCAGTGGGACCCACCCTTTATGTTCAAGCAACGAAGCAAACTAGAAGCTAATTAAGTGCAACTGCATTTATTTAGCCAATTTCTAAATAAGTTGGACAAGCTTTATTCCTAAAATTTTTCATTTAATAGCAATGGATAATAGTGACTTCTGGGCCTCATTAATATGCCAGTAGAACAGGATGAGTTAATTGTTTTAAATGATTATGATGTTAATTTGAAAGGATACAGTGTCTTTTTCCAAATTTTCTCGATATATTCGAAAGATATTTATTCTCACGCACATATTTATACACAGGGTGCATTTTCAATCACGGGCAAACTAAAAGCCCTTCAAGGTTGTTGTCTCCATTAGGGATAAGGGGAGAGGAAGGTGGGAGGAAGCAGGCGCTTAATCAATGTTTGGTAATGAATGGATGCGTGAAGAGGGTGCTGTAATATTTAATTATTCCTTTTATGCTTGGGGAAACTAGGATATCATTCTCCTTTGTTTTATCTCACTGCTGTATAATCAGTTCCGAACACCAAAATGACTGCTCCTTTTGGCCCACCTGTACATGGATGAATCAATGGCTTCGACTCTGGCAAAATAAGTCACTTCAGCATCACTTTAAGTGTTTGGTGGTATTTCTACCTCGTAGGAGCTGACTCATTCTGTAAGCTGGCTTACATGGGGGAGCGCAGGGGGACAACAAGGGACTTATGTATATTTGAGGGCTACGGGCAGGCTGTGTTTTAAATATCCACAAAGCAAACAGCTTTACATCAGAACTCATCAGAATTCCCCTTACAAAAGTGTCATTCATCTAATTGGAAGCTGATGACACGCCCGAACAGGAGGATGCTGTGCTGTGGGCTGTCTTATAATTCCCAGGGATCAGGCCTCAATGTCTTAACTCTCCCTTGGTGACTCACAGTGTGTTCTCAGGAATGGGGTGAAATTAACGAGATGACTACTTTCCGCAGAGTTGTGGCTATGCTCTTCCCACCACAGAGGATGTCCCAGTTGGTGTTTGAAGGCCAGAGTCCCTGGTCATAGGGCCTGGCTTGCTTGCTTTAAAATGAACGTTTGGTTTACGGGCTTCTCCCAGCCGTGGGTTCACAGGAAGGGTACTTAAGCATGTGAATGCCCAAAACATGAAGTCGGTGGTAGAGTCACACAGCAGAATCTTTCAGGGCCCACTGCCGCATTCCTGAAATGGTAGAGATTTTTGTAAGTTATTACTTTGTCTTGATTCCCCTTTTCCACTGAAAGTTGGAAGTTACAAATAAAAGGATCCTAGAAAATACCTTCCATCAGCTTCAGGAGGAAAGGGAATGAATGGATTTTGAGCATACGTCTCTCTTCCAGGCATTGAGTTAAAGCTCCCACAGGCACCATCTCGCTGAGTCCTCACGGCAGCTCTGTGGAGCAGGTGACCCGTCACGTGAAGAAGCTGGAATGCAGGGATTGAGTAGCTTGCCAGGGTCATGTAGTTTACGTTCAACTAAGTTAACATTCAAATAAAACAAAGCCTGCAAGCCACCAACTCACACTGGGGCTATTAAAATGTGATGAGATGCCTTCATTCAAGTGGAAATAAGAATTTATTTTTCAAAAAGCCAATCAATTAATGCTTCATTGATAACATTATGTGGGACATAGTCTTCGTTTCTCTTCGAGGTTCATCACTTGATTAACAACGAAAATAAATAAAATATTCAGTTGCAAGCACTGCTGTCCTTACACTTCATATGTTTTGTTTATTCTGTATACAATTTAGCAATTTTTACTTCATTAGAATAAGGTGCAAGGTCACTACAAACAAAGAAAAAAGAACAGAGAACCATCGATAGCTTAAAGCTACAATTTGAAGTTACAATTATTTATAAATTTGTAAATTGTGCATACAACTAATTTTCAGAGAACAGCAGATACATGAATTGATTTTGCAGTCTTAACCATTTTCCAGAGAGCCTGCCATTGTGTAGGTGTTAAATAGAAGATCCCTTATATTGAATTACTGAAAGAAACTATTGATTTGGCTTCTGTTGTGGTTACAAGCAGACTATTTCTAAAATCTTATATTAAAATGATTTCATAGTTTGAGAAAAATCAGTTCACATCTCTGCCATTCTCTGAAAATACACTACCCAGTGCAGAGTTAGGCAAGCAACTCAATGCTGTCATACATTCTATCTTCAGAAGGAAGCATTTCAACTTTTTATTTGGATTCACTGTCAGTTGCAAAAGCGAAGAAATGTGCACCAACACAAATGTGAAGCTTGATGAAATTCTACCCAATTCTCACTTGACAGTGTTGTTAAATGAAATTAATAAATTATTCTTTCATTGGAATGAAAGAAAATGTGAGAAAAAATTATCCAGCCAATTGCTATCCCTTCGTAGTTATGAGCAACATGAAACTTCAACTCAGCAAAAAGGTTTGTGAAGATTATTCTCATGTCTGCAGAGCGTGAAGTGAGGGGGAGTGTGATGAGAGCTGATGAGGAGAGATCAAAGGAATATCACCCATTGTCTTCATCCCTGATGGATAATTTGCTCTCGTTTCTAGAGAACAATCTAAGCCTTATACAATAATTATCACAGACTGGAAATGAGCGATTCTTTCACTCAAAACTAAATCACAGCAATCACTTACAAGGCCAAGCATTAAAGAGTAAAATGAGTTATGCATGTGAGGGAAACTGAAGGTTTGATATGCAGAAAGGATATTTTTCATTGCAAAGTTGGTAATAACGTTGACCAACACCAGTTCAGAGAAAACCACTTAGCCTCATCACATGGAGGAATAGCAAACTTGCAAAAAAATTAATAAATATAAAATGAAATGTTGTCATTCTGCACTTTTTCAGGATGATCACCCTCTCAAATTGAAGCTATTCATTGTCTCTTAAGACATATAAAAAGGAAATTACAAGTTTAAGTACAGAACATAATGCTTGTTTAAAAATTAAATACATTTTGGCCGAGTTGTTCTGCTTTTTTTTTTTTTCCAACTTCACACTGACCTCTGGGTTGAATCTTCAGAATCTTTATTAACCAAGACATTATAAACCCCTGAAGCCTAGGTGATTTGCACCACAAAACTGAAATGAGATTCATTTTCCAAACTCTTTTCAAAAAGCATCAATCATAAGAAGGGTTGAATCATTTGGCTGGAAGGAACTCTAGAGCAGGAAGCAGAGGTGAAAGAAACAAGCAAAGACCAGCAAAATAGTTGCTGCTTTTAGAACTTGAAAAATAGCAATCACCAGCTACACGACTTGTATAAAAATAAACCCTCAGAGGATAGTGTCAAGGTTGAAAAATTCTAAATTGAACCATTTTCTCTCTTGATGCCTGTTTTCAAATTCATGTAATTTTTCATGTGTGCCCTCATTGGGGTTCAAAATCAGGGTGCTGTCAAGAAAGGTGAGTAAAATCCCAAATGTTTTTGTCACAACAAACTCTCATGTGGCAAAGCCCATGTGTAGCTGGCATGTGCTCCAGTCCTGGCCTTCCAAGTAAAAAGAGGTAGTCCCACTTGTGACCAGACATGAATAATGTTTGCATATCGGGCCTAAAAGCGAAGGTACCAAGTCACTCAAAATCTGTCATTCTTTCCTGATTCAGAATTATTCGTGGCCTCTAGGTATTCAGTAAGGTAAGAATACTAGAAGCTCTGTACGAAACTGGAAAAGTAGTTAGATAGGTCTTTTCTTAGCCTCACCTAGATGACCTGTGCTTATACCTCTTTCACACAACTTTTCTTAGTCTGATCTGCCTGTCCAGGGGACTAGGAATTAGGCCAGCAGTATCTCGGGTTGCTACCAGAGCTGGATTTTAAATTCCTCTTGTACAATGCTCTCATTCAATTGATGAGAAACCAAGTCCCAAAGAGGGACCATCTTTGCCAAGTGCTTCAGATATTTTTGTCCATTACTTCAGATTGTCTCATCCCGTTTCTTACTGCAGCCTCTTTGCACAAGCTTAAGCCAGTTTCATGGTGGTACAACCAAAACATGCTTCCTTCACACTGGGGCCACGCACGACTTCTTGCTGCCTGTGCTGGGTCTTCCCTGGTGCCCTGGCAAGTGAAGTCCATGCTAATTTGCTTGGCACTCCTGTATGTACCACCCAGAAGTGGGGCCACGTGTGGGCAACAGAGAATGCAAACCAAGGGACCAATCCTCTCACATTTTGTCCTCCAGGTAGACAGTACTGAAACTCATTTCAGAAAGTCCCCCGGGATCATGCACGTGCTTCTCACAATGGTGGCTGACTTGAGAACACTTTCTTGGGTGACTTTCCATACTCCTCTGCTTCAAATGAGTTAATAAGATGAGTTGAGCTGCATTCCCTGGAATAAAATTCCCAAACGAACTGTCTCAAGTTTCGCTTTTGG